CGAGTCAAGAGCCTTTGCTGGTTTTTCCAGGATTTTTCTGTTAGCGTGTAGTCACTTTAAGATGTTTTCTTGTTCATCTTTTTGTTTTGTTGCGGTTGCACCCGAGTCAAGAGCCGCATGGCTCACAGGGGCTATACCTAATAAATGAAGCTGAAACTGAAACTGCCTTACTCAGCACGATTATCATCTGCCATGAGTCTTCCACGACTGGATAAATACCTGCCAGTGCTGTTGGCATGTCTTGACACAGTTCTGCGATGCTGCGCCTTGCACAATGAACTGTTCATGGTCCACACCGCCTCCACGATGGTCGTCCGCTCGGGTCGCAGTCACGCCCTCTTGGCTGCCCATTCTGTCTGGTGACGTGACCTGCCCGAGCCACCAATTGGCAGTTCGATATATGAACCTTATGGCGGCGGCCCTGGGGTCCCGAATAAACGGAAGTCAAAATCGTACTTTTATTTATTTATTTTTGGCAACTCCGACGCACCGCCCACCTGGCGTGGATCATTCTGCTGTCGCGTCGTCCAAGCGCAGCGAGGACGACGCGACAGCAGAACAAATATTTGATTAGCACATCGTGGAGAGCTCGTCGAGAGGAATAGCCGTATCGTTTGCCTTTCAACAGATGTATAATGACGTCGCAACGCAGTTTATGCGAGAGCCGGGGGCTTATGGGACCCCGGGGTCCCGCCATAAGGTTCATATTCCGTTTGGGAAATGTGTTGTGCACGACCTTTATTGTTTCGCTCATGGCTCAGCGTGGAACTTGTGGACTTGTTTGAAAAATAACGTACACCCTGCAATTAAGTTACGCTTGTGCAAGATACACTCGCACTTAAGTTCCTGATTGGAACGAGAAAAACACCTTTAATTTCCCACCGTGCGTGCGTGCGTGCTAGAGACACCATAACAAGAAAATGTATCTCACAGCAGCTAATGACTAGCTGGGTGCTGGTGGAGCACACCTGTAATCCAGCACTGTGGAGGCAGCGAGGGTTGATGGATCACAGAAATGTCGTGAGACCTCCTTCCTGTGGGTGTCGAGGTGCCACATGCCCCTGGATTGCCAGGAGGATGCAAAATGTGGATCCCACCTTGTTCCACCTGTACGGGAGAGTGTACTGCCCCCTTGCTCAATAATCGCCGATAACACCTTCATATATAGAGGACTGCAGAATTTGGGGGGTGGGGGGGGGGATTTTGGCACCGGCTCGCCTCACGTTGCTGCCTTTCCTCCTCGTCTGTGGTTCCACGCGCCTCCGAGTCTGTATACTGCCTTCGAGAGCGAATGAATGCTATGCGCGTTACAGGTGGAAATTGCCGATATGTCGTGGAGCGATGGCACAGTCATTAACGTCCTTTGCAGTTTGAATCCGAAAATGGAAAATATTCCCGGTGTGCAGACTGTGCTTTGTGATGACAACTTCGCCAGCTGCATTCATTACAATGCAGTGCAAAGGGTGATTTGCATGCATAAATGTGTGCAAAGTAGTTATAGTAGTAAAGTCACAGTTTGAATGGCAGTGGAGGATGCCGCTCTGTCGACGGCACCAGATCACATTACAATGCTCATAAATGTGCACAATAACAATCGACCTTATTTTCCTGCTCCAATGAGCATTTTTAGACAAGTGCAAATTAGTTTTAGAGGCCTAAGCGGTGGTTGTAATTACACATTCCTGTGACTGGGGCAACAATTTTGATAGGGCAACCATTGTAAACTTCCCCACAAAAGTTAGACTACATTTTTCTTTATGAACCCAGAATGATGATGAGTCAGCCCCTGACCAGGGTTTGAACTGGGAGCCCTGCCAATTGTGAGGAGCTCTCTACTAATGAGGCATGTGCCAGTTTGCATGCGTACAATACACGTGTGCAAAGTGCTTTACTTAGCCAAATGGTAGTTTGAATGATTAATTACAATTGCTGAGATTGCGCAAGATGACAATGGAGGTTTAAAAATGATGTATGCCATCCCATTATAACACCACTTAATGGTTACATTAAGTGATGTTATAATTGTTTTACATTGCAGCTTTAAAGAAATTAGAAGAAAAAAAATTGATCTCATTTTTCTGCTACAAAAACGATAACAACTGCTCGTCCGACAGCAGGAAAGGGAATTGAAGCTTAAATGAAGTGAATCTGCTGATCTCTGGTAGTTGCTGAGAGGTTGATGGATTACGGGAAGAAGGGACCATTTTATCCATACAGATATATCTCTTATCTGTATTAACGAATGTCAGCAAACATTGTGCAGTGAAATGAACATGTTACACCTTGATAACACATTTGTGGTCATCAATCCAGGTGACTAAATTCTAATCTACACTATAAATGTTATTTATATATTTTATATATATAATTCGTATTATTATTACTCTAGTACAAGGGTTAAACGTGTCGAGGACGCTTTTCCTACACAACAATGGTCCGGTTTGTAATCGCACGAATTCCGCCGCGTGACTGTGCAGGAAATGCACCATTAAACACTGGAGGTGTTGCACTTGCAGTGCTGTCACGCGTGTACATCTAGCAGTGGTGTACGGCATTCCCTCGATGTTCGCAAGGGATACGTTCCAGAGAGGCATATTTCGCGGGTAATGATATTGTCCTTCATTAAAAAAAAAATGTTTTTTTACCTGTTTATGAATTACCTTAAATACATACATTAATAAGCTTTTAAAAACATGAAAATTAGCATAACACGAAAACATACAAAATCGGTTATAATGAACATAAGCTTAATGAAAAAAATATTGAAAAGGATTAAATAGTAGGTTATAAATTATGATGATGCGCATCCTCAAATTAAAATCCCTCTATCTCATCACTTTATCGCATTACATTATAGCCAAAAATCGCAGATAGCATGTGTGTAAATAACAAGGGAATACTCGACACAACGAATTGGCCCATCAAATAATATCGACGCTTTAGCTCGCGATACATGGGTTGAATCGTGTGCGTTAACATTCGACGTTAAATTAACGAGTTCAGCTTACCCATGTGTCGCAGACACTAGGGGCCGCTACATTCTCTGTAACGTTAAACCGATAATGGTTTTAATCGATTTTCTAAACTCGAACGGTGACATATTAATTGAGCGTCTGAGCACTTAGTCATCGGTTGAGCCTGTGAGTAAAATCGGTGAACTTGAGGTGTACTGTGTGTGCTTAAACACACAAACGCATGTGCATTCTATACATACTGAATGTCCAGTGTTTTAAGTTTTTATTCAGGTGCAGTATGTACCATCCATTAAGTACAAACGGTCTTGGCTCAGTAACTCAAGACTAATGTTCGCCTGTAAATCTGAAATTTGCCACAGGTATATTCAAGTCTATGGCTATAACTAGAGAAATCCAAACACCAAATATTTTCTATTTTTGGCCCTAGAAAATGACAACCCAAGATATTTGATTGCGTTTACTCATAGGGCAGGGTCAGTTTCAAGTCCTAATTTGCTTAAAGTGTCACGCTATAAACACTTTAAAATATATAATTCCTTTCGGCAAATCAAGTATAAAATTTCCTCTCGTGCTGCGTTGATTTCTAGAGATGATAGAAAGTGGGCAAAAACTGCTACCGGCTACTATTGTGTGCATATTTACCTTCACGTCAGCCTGTGAGCAAGCACGAGAGTGCACACACTCCTTTGCATTGCAAGCCACTACTCTGTGCGTCTCGGCATCGCACAGTGGAACCCTCAGAATGTTATGGAAAAAAAACTTACCTCCCCTCCATAGGGCACACGAATAGGACGGAATACCAAATGGTATCATCACGCATGTACCTTGCGTCTTCATTTTCTCAGCTGATATTGTACATCATCCAGAAATTGAATTTCAACGTATATATGTGCACATTTTTGCACAGCCACATGCACAATTCCACAATTGAAGTGTATGCAAACGTGGTTACGTTTAATAACCTCATGTCAGCATCTCTAAGCTAATTGTTATATTAGAGGGGGGGGGGGGGGTTCTCAAGCAGGAACTTTGCCCAGCTGACTGCAGGGGCCTTTGTGCCCAGCACGCAAACATTAGGCAAGCTTATTATGTTATCATAATTTAGTAATTGTATGTAACTTTTAAATTTAGCAGGCATGTATCGTCACACTGGCAACCAAAGAGCATGCCCTTTCAAATGTTAATGTCTTTTATGGCAGGTGGTATAATGAGATAGGGGGCGTTATTAAGACTGAGCAGCTCCAAAAGGGTGGTCAGAGCGCTGAGCCGACACTGCTGAAATCCTGTGTTTGAATCCGTGTAGCTGCTGGTGAGTAAACTGGATTCTCACATGTGATGAGTTCAATGGTTGGAGCATAGCCATCAATGACTGCACACAGAAACGATCATGTAAAAACAAAACAAAGCGGTTCTTCGCTTTAATTCGGCTAAATTTCAGGCCTGAGATTGCTTCACACCGCCTCGACTCTCATGCTACAATCTCACTGCAGTGTGTGTGGAAAAGTGCGACCCCCCACCCGCCAGAGTGTAAAATAATAAAGGGGACACTCGACGGATTTTACACGGCAGAGAATCTGTGAAAATTATCTTCTGGAGCCATTCTTCTGTACAAACGGAGCGGGGAGTGGGGGGGGGGGGCACACCAATCTTGCAGTGCTCCCGCACACCCCCCCCCCCCCCCCCAAAATTGCCTGCTGCTGGATGTAATTACCAGCGGAACGTCACGGTAGTCAAATTGTCAATGTTGTGGATTTACTGTCCAACACACCGGTGGAGTGAAGTAGTCACTAATTGACGCGTTCTGTTTACGTGATAAACATCTTACCGGCTGCGTCGGGTGGTGGAGGGTTACGACAACATTTATACTCACGCGATCCAATCCCAAAACACCTTCGTTATGAATAATATTGGTCAGCGAAAGCACGCTACGTGTTAAACCGCCGTTTTTTTTTTTTTGCAACAACAAAAAAATCGAGTACATTCATATAATGAACGTTTCAACTATTTGCCCTTGTTTGTCAACAGGTGTGTGGACCAATCCCGACACTGGATTTGCCTGGAGGATCCATTTACGTAGTTGGGGTGAGCCACAGCTCTGTATGCACACAACGCACGCAGCCAACGCAAGAACGGCCGAACTCCCGCTATGGCCACTATCATTCTCAGGAGCACTTCAACACGATGATGAATAATTCATCGTGGTTGTACGTGTACTTCTACTGAATGTAGGGTGTTCTTTGATTTTGCTGTCTCTATAGCTTGATGTTTAACCCTTGCGTTCATTTACAGGAATGCAGCGAAATGTGAAATACTGTTGTTTTTATGAAATACATACATATCTAATGGAAATGTGTGTGACCACAACTTCCAATTATAGAATTTGGACAATGCGTTGTAGCTTGCTTTTGTTAAACAGCGCAAGCTGTAACAGAATTTGGGTGCACTTCGTAGATTGGAGTCGCAGTTTCGGGTGAAATATTTAGACAGCCCTGCAGTGATCTGTCAGAAGCTTGACATTTGGAAAGTTTAAATGTACTGTGGAATGAAATTTGTAAACTGCAGTTATATATTTTTTATTATTATAGGGTGCTTCAAAAAAAGTGTTTTAACACTTTTGAGATTTTGCAACAATACCACGTGGCATGTGCTGCTGCCTTCGGGCTCTGGAGACCACCTGGAGAAGATTCCAGGCCACGTGTTGACAACGAAGCTACAGTGAGGGAAAAAAAGTATTTGATCCCCTGCTGATTTTGTACCTTTGCCCACTTGCAAAGAAATTATCAGTCTATAATTTTAATGGTAGGATTTATTTGAACAGTGAGAGACAGAATAACAACAACAAAACCCAGAAAAGCGCATGTCAAAAATGTTATAAATTGATTTACATTTTAATGAGGGAAATAAGTATTTGACCCTTCTGCAAAACATGACTTAGTACTTGGTGGCAAAACCCTTGTTGGCAATCACAGAGGTCAGACGTTTCTTGTAGTTGGCCACCAGGTTTGCACACATCTCACGAGGGATTTTGTCCGACTCCTCTTTGCAGATCTTCTCCAAGTCATTAAGGTTTCGAGGCTGACGTTTGGCAACTCGAACCTTCAGCTCCCTTCACAGATTTTCTATGGGTTTAAGGTCTGGAGACTTGCTAGGCCACTCCAGGACCTTAATGTGCTTCTTCTTGAGCCACTCCTTTGTTGCTTTGGCCGTGTGTTTTGGGTCATTGTCATGCTGGAATAACCATCCACGACCCATTTTCAATACCCTGGCTGAGGGAAGGAGGTTCTCACCCAAGATTTGACGGTACATGGCCCCGTCTATCGTCCCTTTGATGCGGTGAAGTTGTCCTGTCCCCTTAGCAGAAAAACACCCCCAAAGCATAATGTTTCCACCTCCATGTTTGACGGTGGGGATGGTGTTCTTGGGGTCATAGGCAGCATTCCTCCTCCTCCAAACACGGCGAGTTGAGTTGATGCCAAAGAGCTCCATTTTGGCCTCATCTGACCACAACACTTTCACCCAGTTGTCCTCTGAATCATTCAGATGTTCATTGACAAACTTCAGACGGGCATGTATATGTACTTTCGTGAGCAGGGGGACCTTGCGGGCTCTGCAGGATTTCAGTCCTTCACGGCGTAGTGTGTTACCAATTGTTTCTTGGTGACTATGGTCCCAGCTGCCTTGAAATCATTGACAAGATCCTCCCGTGTAGTTCTGGGCTGATTTCTCACCATTCTCATGATCATTGCAGCTCCATGAGGTGAGATCTTGCATGGAGCCCCAGGCCGAGGGAGATTGACAGTTCTTTGTGTTTCTTCCATTTGCGAATAATCGCACCAACTGTTATCACCTTCTCACCAAGCTGCTTGGCAATGGTCTTGTAGCCCATTCCAGCCTTGTGTAGGTGTACAATCTTGTCCCTGACATCCTTGGAGAGCTCTTTGGTCTTGGTCATGGTGGAGAGTTTGGAATCTGATTGATTGATTGCTTCTGTGGATAGGTGTCTTTTATACAGGTAACAAGCTGAGATTAGGAGCACTCCCTTTAAGAGTGTGCTCCTAATCTCAGCTCGTTACCTGTATAAAAGACACCTGGGAGCCAGAGATCTTTCTGATTGAGAGGGGGTCAAATACTTATTTCCCTCATTAAAATGCAAATCAATTGATATCATTTTTGACATGCGTTTTTCTGGATTTTCTTGTTATTCTGTCAGTGGGCAAACGTACAAAATCAGCAGTGGATCAAATGCTCGTTTCTCTCACTGTATTAACATTACATTTGTTACCATGTTAGTACATTATCCGTTCTTTCTCCATTAAAAACGATAGTCCCAGATAAGTGTTAAAAAAATTTGAAGCACCTGTATTTTTTTTATTTTTCCCAAGAAAATTATTCCAATTGTGCAATTGGTATCATACCATGAGATGAAAAGTCCGTTCAGATATTTTTTGTTATGAAACAGCCCACAGAATGAGATACCACAGATCTTTCTCCCAGACTCCCTGTAAAGTCAAATCTTATACATGCTCGGGGAAATGTACTTTATATTGCACCCTTCTATAGAAGACGTTTGTTTGTCACATGGGAGAGCTTGAATTTGCTCCCAAATTAGGTAAAACTCGTTTAATATTACGGATTTTAATATGTACAGTGTAATTGGTGATCAGTCTGAGACCATCCACTCACTACTTTTGAAAACTCGGTTTTAATCATGAGTGGCTGCTCAGATTTGAACTCAAGATGTCAACAGTGCAGGATCAGTACTCTCACTGCTGTGTATCGTACTACTGTCGTTCCCGGCCATATCTAGTGCCACACTCAACTCTACAAACGGCTACCCTCGTTACTTTGCGTCCAAACTTGTTGCTCGATTTGCCACTACACCTGCAAATGAAACAGCTCATAGACACTTCTACACTCCATCATTGTATCCTTTTAAACCCTATCTTTGTCCCATTACTTCACCAGCACTCCTTCCAAACTTCATTCTGCTCTTAAAAATAACACCATCTGTGAGCTACTGCTATTCGTCCAAGGTTCACCGCTCTTCATCCTTTCACAGAAAATACTTGTGCAAACTATTAATTCTACTTTTCTTATTTCTGGGTGGTATTGAGCTTCATCCTGGCCCAAATATAAAGATCTCGTATAATTCTGTAGATTTTTTCTGGCAGGAAAGGTGTTGATGTTCTACATGTCAACATCAGAAGGCTTGTGATTAAATTAAGTCAACTAAAACTAGAAGTGGAAAATCTTGACTCGGACATTTTTTGCCTAACAGAAACATTTCTCACTCCTGCCGTCAATGACTTGCAGCTTACGATTGACAACTACAACGTTTTTCGGCTTGACTGAGGATCTAAAGGAGGTGGAATTGCCATCTATGTTCGTAATACTATTGCATGTTCACCAGCTCACTCCTTGTTTAAAAAATGTTGCTTTGAAGGTTTGGCTCTCAGAATAACGCTTCCAAAAAATTAACAGACATTGGTAGTGTGCTGCTATAGACTGCCTAGTGGGAAGGATGTTGAAGCTGCATCTGCACTGAGAGAGCTTTTTGGGGGCCTCCCTAAAGGTGAAATAGTTTTAGTGGGTGATCTAAATTGGAATTGGCTAAACCCGCCGGCCGTGGCCACAAATTTTACAGATGAATTTAATCTGTTTCAATTAATAAATGTTCCCACAAGACCCAATCTAAAAAATCCGGGACAGTCATCTCTGCTTGACGTCCTATTGGCAAATGCCCCTCACAATTTCACACTGACTGGTGTTCTGGGTAATAACCTTAGTGATCACTCCTTCATTTTTGGTGTGAGATCAACAGCTAGACCCAAAGCCCCCCCTAAATTGGTTGAGAAGCACTCTATGAGATACTTCAGCACTCAGGCATTTACAAATGATGTGCTTCACTCGGATATTGGCAAGGTCTGTGATATCCCCAACCTGACTACGGCTTGGGAGACCTTCAGGTACACGTTTCTCCAAATTCTTAACAAACATGCTCCGTTGGTTAGTTTTAAAACTAAAGGCAACCGCCCACCATGGTTTGATCCTTTGATTACAAAGCTCATGAAAACTAGGGACAAGGCTTGGGCATGTGCTCAGAAAAGTAATTTGGTCAATGACTAGCTAGAATACAGGATTTTAAGGAATAGATGCGTCAAAAAAATACGGCATGCAAAAAATGCCTACTTTTCCTCCACTCTCCTGGAATCACATGGAAATGCCAGGATTTTCTGAAAAACAATCAAATGTATCGAAAAGGCATCCAAAACAGACAATCTGCCTGTTGAGCTTAACCGAAATGGGGAATATTGTTCAGATCTCAAAAAAATAGTTGACAATTTTAACCTTCATTTTTCTGAAGCTGGTAATCTTTTTGATAATGTATTGGGAGTCACCCCTGCTCATGCAAATTCCTACACCCCTGTCCAAACATTAAACGAATTTAGTTTCCAGCCAATCCACGAAAGTAATGTTCTGAAACAACTGTCCTACCTCAAAGGGTCCTCCTCTACTGGAGCAGATAGTATTCCCGTCTTTGCTCTACTAACTGTTGGTCACCTAATATACAAACCTATACTCATTGGTTTTTTCGGTAAAGTCACGTATGTAGAAATACAATAAAATTATATTAAAACAAAAAACAATCACGACGTTTCGATCACAATGCAAGCGATCTTCATCACGGAGGTAAATACAACAAAAAGATGAGAGACGAGAATTCAACAAACCTGAAAAAACATTATGTGAAGCACATCCAGTCAGGCCAACAACACAGTTAGACACTTCCTGTTGTTGGCCTGACTGGATGTGCTTCACATAATGTTTTTTCAGGTTTGTTGAATTCTCGTCTCTCATCTTTTGTTGTATTTACCTCCGTGATTTGTTCTTGACACCTGATGAAGATCGCTTGCGTTGTGATCGAAACGTCGTGATTGTTTTTTGTTTTAATATAATTTTATTGTATTTCTACATACGTGACTTTACCGAAAAAAACAATGAGTAATTTTATGCAGTCACGAAAGCTTTAATACTTTATTAATACAAACCTATAGCCCATATTTTCAACCTGTCCATCAAAAAAGCATCAGTTCCTCTAGAATGGAAACATTCCTATGTCCGTCCACTTCACTAAGGGGGCCCTAAAGATGATCCAAATAACTACCGACCCATCTCAATTTTGTCCCCGTTGATGAAAATTTTTGAAAAATTATTGACCTACCAAATTAGCAGTTTCCTGTCCACAAACAATCTACTACATCTAAAACAATCTGGGTTCCGAAAAAAATACAGCACTACATCTGCTGCATTAGACTATCTGAATCACATTTACAGTAGCCTTGATAATAAGCAGTTCTGTGCCTGTCTTTTTCTAGACCTGTCCAAAGCTTTTGATACAGTAGACCACAACACCCTGCTTAGTAAACTAAGTTGCCTCGGTTTTTCCGAAAACGCAGTAAAATGGTTACAAAATTACCTCTTTTTTTCTCGCACCCAAACTGTATTCACAGATGGTTGGAGGTCAAACAGTGTTAAGATAACAAAAGGGGTTCCACAGGGTTCCATCCTTGGCCCCCTTTTGTTCTCTCTTTACGTCCATGACTTGGGCACTGACCTGGATCATTCCAGGGTAAATCTTTTTGCAGATGACACGATACTGATTACTACTGGCCGCTCTCCGGATGACGTGATTGCTAAGCTACAGGGTGATTTCAACAAGCTACAACATCAGCTAGTTGCTCTTAAACTAGTCCTGAATACCTCCAAAACCAAGGTGCTATGCTTCTCACCAGGACTAAAGCAGGAAGTTATTTTTCCCCAATTACATTCCTTAAATAATTGTCAAATAGAGCATGTCAAGATCTATAAGTATCTTGGGGTCATCCTGGATTCAAAACTGAATTTTGAAGATCACATTGATTATATTGGTAAAAAGACAAAAATAAAAATTGGTTTTCTGTATCGACACAAGCACTGCTTCCCCCCAATGTTCCGTTTGAAATTGATAAAAGCTACCATACTGCCTCTACTTGACTACTGTGACATCGTGTATAAATCAGCCCCAAGTACTGTACTGAAGAAGCTTGATTCCATCTATCACTCGACCTTAAGATTTACATTAAACTGCCCATATAGGACTCACCACTGTGATCTCTACCTTGGGTCAAACTTAACATCTCTTCATGTTCGACAGCTTGTGCACCAGATCTTATTTATTCACGATGTACTTACAAAAAAATCCGCAGACTACCTGCTGGATCTCCTCTCTGTTTCAAAGAACAAATTTTAACTCAGGTCTTCGCTCATTTACCAGCTTCACATTCCCTATTGCCGTACAAAAACTGGAGGAAGGGCCTTTGCTATTGATGCCCCCAGAGTCTGGAATGCTTTTGCCAATAAACTGCAACTTGAATCGCTACCAATGAGATCTTCTCTCAAAACTGCTCTAGAGGAGTTGTACACCCCTAGCTGCCACTGCTATTCATTGGCGTAAAATAAAATAAAATGTTTCGCTCCGGATGACGCTACAAAGTATTATTTGTATTTTGATTTAACGTGCTGATCTTAAAGGTGCATTGAAAAATTTGATACTCCGACCGATGCTTCTGTTGTTGTGGAGTAACTCATGCAGCCAGCTATGGCTCTAGGATTTGGTGTTACATGTTATTTATGTAGTTTATTGTAAAAATTCGGTCACAGTCCTTGTGATCACTGTTACGTTGCAATTATGGCTTTATTTTTTGGTGATTTGGAAAACGTTTTTTGGTTTGGACATGTTTGTTTTGTTGTAGTACGGAGTTAGACTGATGGCCTTAATCTAAGTTTTTGTGGTTGTTGTTGTTTGACTTGCATCCCACTGGGATTTTTTGCACACAGCGTTGGTGTACGGAGCTTTTTCAGTAATATTTTTGCAGTTTTTTTTTCCATGGATTTTCTGTTTGCACAGTCACATAGTCACTTTAAGATGTTTTTCTTGTTCGTGTTTTTGTTTTTTTTGTTTGTTGTGGTTGCACCCGGTTCAAGAGCCGAATGGCTCACAGGGCTATACAAAAATAAACTGAAAAAAAAACTGAAACTGAAACCAGGGACCCTCCCAGTGACCTCTCTCTGAAATAATCTGCAGACACAGAGGTGGCGGAGCCATATCCCTGTTTATATATAATATTTATAGCTTTAAATTCAATTTCATTTTCGAAATAACTTTCTTCAGACAGCACTTAATCCAGCACTTGTGACACAAGTTTGTAGATCAGATTGTACTTGTTAAACTCTCAAAGCTGCTGGGCTGTAAGATAGTGACCAGGAGATGGAAATACAGCAAATGGGTTGGAAACCCATCCATGCATACATTTGTTTTGTTTATTCCTGTGTGTGTGTTCCTTTCTTCTTCACACAAAACACTCATTGATGGAATTAACCAAACATTACTATGCAGGACCGGCCTCAAATAGTGTTTGAGACTCGGTGAGCCTTTCCAGGGGAAATAAATGATGTTATTATTGTTCACAGATATGTATACTTATACGTACGGGCTGGTTGAAAGGGTATCGTAATGAGCAACTGTGTGCTTAAAATGTGATCATAATCACGTGCAAAAAAATTCCTTTCTTAAAGTCTGACATCGTCTTGACATAGAGTACGCAGGAAAAGAGTAGGGGAGGGGTGCGGGGGTACTAATAATGCATTCTTTGCATAAGAAAAAGTCTGATTTGAAGAAAAAAGCTGACATGGCAATTTGAGTCTGTACAATAAATTTTATTAATAGCAGTTTGTGCCTTCATTTCATTTCAATATTTTCTCAAGGTGCTTCATCTGCATGACAATTTAACACGCTCTCCCTCAAGTTCAGCGTTCCCAACCCTCCTCTATTCTGATCCCCAGTGTAATGCCACTTTCGCTCGTTGATGTGGCGAGTACATTATTGGAAGTGTTTTCATTTTGGAAGCCAGAGTCCCAAGTTAAATATATGTCAGTACAATCAAGCACGCACGGCAAATATTGAACGATGTTTTCCCCATATGTGCTTTACGTCTGCCACGGTCTTCTTTTTTTATGGCTTTTGTTGATCTTTTTTGAGAAAGTATGGGCAGGAGGGGAAGGAGGCGGCGTTTGGGAGGGGTTATCGTTCCAAACGCTGCTCTGGGAAAACCCAGACTGAGCGTTAAGAGAGGAAAGCAATAATATCCCCCACTACTCGCTCCCTAGCCACAACCCCATATAGGATAGGCTGCTCTGCCATTCAAAGTCATTTACTGTTTTATTGAAGAACATGACCACGCAGCACTTGACCTATTCCGACAGCCACCTGGCCAATTGGGATTAGTATGATGGGCAGCTAAAAAAAACTGGTTTTACGTCTTGTTTTTGCCCACAAAGTAGATACGTCGCTAAAAAATGACTTGATCACAAGCGAGAGATGTATGTTGTTAAATAAAAAATATCATCAGCCTAGATAATGGACAAACATTTGTTTCCAAGCATATGTGAAAGATGCAACAACAACTACAAAAATGACCGTAAATTGCATTAATGCCCCTATCGTGCCAGAATTTACCGCAGCGAAGATTTAGTCGCATGCTAACGAACTCCTACAATAATACCAGTTAATCTGTGCAACCCCCCTTCTCGTTGCATGTAAAAGGTTACAGGTCAGCGGGTCACAGATTTATGCCCCATACTGTCAAAATGCAACCCGATATTTTGCGCAGTAAAATACAGTAATAGCGGCGCATAAAGGACACCGGCGACACTTTATGCATACATTTCGCAAGTTTGCACCCCCACCCACCACCCTGAATGTAACCTTGGCTCCCTCTTTCTTCCCTCCACCCCCCACCAAATTGATTAGGCGTCCCCGCTGATGCGAACAGCCTCCTCTTCCTCCTCGTGTGCGGGATTCGTCAAGTTAAGGACCCTCTGTACCTGACGGACACTTTCTCTGGTAAGCACAAAACTAACAAAATTGTTATCTCATCTGAAAAATGCTTGCAACGGCAATAGGTGCACATTGTAGGCGTTTCTCTGTACCTTTAGCGTTGATATCAGATTTAATTATTAAATTTGTTTAGAATGTTTTACAGCTACCGTTTTATGGTGGGGGGGGGGGGGGTGAGGGGGGGGACGGAGCGTTGTCACAGTCGTTTGTACGCAATGTTATGAACCTGTCGGCCTGAGTTTGAGTCCAGGCCAGGTCTGACATCATTGGTGAGTCGTATCGGGCTGGTTCAGATACCAAACCCCCACTGGCCAGCTTAACCACTCAACCACACAAGCTAGCGCGCTGAAGTACGCTCAACACATTTATTATAATACAGCGTGCTTGGAAAGGCCTTCAGAAGTGGATTAACAAAGGTCTGTAAATTTTTATTTACATGTAATTACGTACATTTATAATGTATTTACATTGATAGAATGTTAAATAAAACAATACGTGACTTTACCGAAAGAAGCAAAGCGTAATACAGGCTATTTAGATCGGTCTTATGCAACCGTGCCTGAGTCAAGAGTGTGATCTTTGAGATTATTTTATAGAAATTATGTTTTTTGGTCATTTTGGTGAACTCATGAATCCAAGCAAAGTCCATAAATGTAAAGTGTGAAACTTATGTGTTTGAATTTGGCCTTTGTAAGTGACCCTTCATTAGATATTCTTTTTGACCTTTTCATAAAGGGGAATTTTAATATATGTCATTTAATTTACATAATTTACATGAAAACATAGCCCTGCATGGTGAAAGAGATACGGTACTTTTTTGCATTAAGTGTGTGGAAGTATATTTGTTGTCAATGAGAATTATTCATAACGATAATATCATCGGGTGCATTGCTTGAAAGTGACGTTGTATTTTTTTAAAAATCCCATGTAACATGCCATTTACAGGCCTTAATGTATAATCACGTACGGAAGCATATTATACGGAACTTTTCCTTGGATTTCTTGCTTGCCTTCAAGAAAGAAGTAATGAATCCGATCAATGGACCACCTTATTAATTTCCAGTCGCTGATGTACAATCATTTGGTTGTGCTATATGCATGGGTCACCGTTCATCATGATGAACTTGGATAAATTGGACATTATCCAAGCCTGCCTTCTGCTGAAGACAAATCCAATAGCAGATATATGATTTGGACTCAATATTATTGAACATTTGGGAGCCATACACTGTAGAGAGGAAAAAAACTCAACTTATACCACAAAATTATTCTGCGGTTGCACGTAACATCACATTTGTTTATTATGCATTGTAACTTCTCATGCAGGGAACCACAGTGAAATAAGCTATTATTCAAGCCTGGAGATTTGAGGCCAAAAATGTTCATTGGTCTATAAATCGATGTGATCCCAATGAACGTTTTTTGTGCCATATATATGCAAGAGGGTGGAGCAATGGTGCAACGATTAGCACTTTGTTCTATACACCCAACCACCTGAGTTTGATTCCTGGACAAGGCTAAAATCAGTGTCGAGTAATGTTTGAACTGGTCCTGAGACCCCCCCTCACCCCTTCACCATACTTCACTACACACTGATCTGTACGGTGAATTATGGTCAACAAACCCACACATTGACATGGCTTGGGGAGCCCTTAGTCCATCAATGTATTGTTTGTTATTATTATTATGACATGCTAAATATGTTGTTTTAACACAGAATGGATGGGCATTCTTGCGAATATATGAATCACATTTAGATTTCGATTTGAAGCTTTCGTGACTGCAAGGATTCATCTTCTTTGGTTCTTTCGGTAAAATCACGCTTGCGTTGTGGCCGAAACGTCGTGAGAATTTTATTGTGTTATTTTATTATTGTATTCTCATTCTACGTGACTTTACCGAAAGAACCAAAGAAGATGAATCACATTTAGGTCGCTACATTTAAAAATGTCTATGCTAAATGTTTCAGCTTGGTTATCTACTGATGCTGCCATCTTTATACATTACTCATCATTCATATTATAGATTACGTGTTAGATTATATTTTTCGCAGATCTTGTTTTAAAGCAAAGGTGATGTGCTAATGGCTACTGTAACACTTGATGAATTGAGCCGGTTTGCCTCAATCCATCTTTCAGTTGCGGTGGTGTTACTGACATCTCTCAGCTGCGAATAGGATTTATACATCACAAAACTAATCACAATATCCAGTGTATCTGCTTAGTGCCTTACCAGAATACACCAACATTGATTGGCTAATTACAATACATATTTATTGCCTTGTGCTCTAACGGCTTGTTATGAGCAGATAATAATAACAACAGTTTAACACGTAGGCTGATTAAAAATCTATTATATAATTACAATAAACCCTCCTTCCCCTCTGATCTCTGCACCTGATGGATTCACAGGGATGACGTCATCTTGCTCTATTTAAGACCGGAAACAGATGGATTGATTCACTATTCTGGCAAATCGCCCAATGGTTCTGGATGTAATTACTAGCAAAACGTCGTACTCCTCAAATTGTAAACGTTGTGGATTTACTCTCCAACACAGCAGTGGGCCGAAGTAGTAACGAATTGGCGCGCTGTTTACGTGACGAACCTTATTGGCTGTGTCGGGTGGTGGAGGGTTACGACACATTTATACTTACACGATCTAACCCAAAAACCTTTATTATGAATAATAACATCAATAATAATGTATATTTATATCACACCTTAATATTAGGAGCGTCTCAAGATGCTGAACGTGCGCTCTCTGCATCGAGTAAATTTGGACGAAGCGCAAAATAACAGAGATACTGGCCACCGTGACCAAGCGCGCTGTACAATTAAAACACAACTTGAAAATATTGTTAACATTTAATTAGATATTAAAACCAAAGCACACCATCTGGCCGTAAGATACAATAATTAGGAAACAGTTTTCCATGATGCCACGATCACACACAACCATCCCAAACAATAAAATACACCGTTGTGAGTACAGCATTGTGTTCCATAATACAGGGGGGGGGGGGGGGGGGGGTTGGGTTGCTTTGCAGGTTTTCAGTAGCGACAGTGACAAGGCTACAGACACCACAACTGCAGGACTTGAGAACCGCTCCTGTGGTTGATTAGGCACCACGTTTTGCACGTTTAGGTCTCTGTAAAAGAAAAAAAATCCAGGATTTTCAGAGCTGCTAGCAAAACCTTGATAGTTATCTGAGCGACGCAGAGTTGCAAGTAGTTTTTTTGTTGTGAACCGTATAATTTTGAGCGTGCGTAAACATAACGGAAAACTATCCACGTATATATATCCTTAGTTCTTTCGGTAAAGTCTACGTGACTTTACCGAAAGAACTAAGAATATGAATTACTGCAGTCACGAAAGCTTCAAATCAAAAATTTTTCCGCGTATAGTTTACAAACTACGCCAAGGTGTAGTGTGTGTTATATACTCTATCGTTATCCGACTACAATTCTGCTCCATTTTGTTAAGCCACAGGAACCTTTGCCAAAGGAGGAAAACTTCCGGTGTCATTGTTTCATCCTTGTGGGGGAAAAAAAAAACCTGACACAGGGTCGTTATTTTACCATACTTCGCCACGGTGGTCAGTGGTTGGTTAGAGGGGGCAGGGGACAAGGACCAGTTAAGATATCACTGGCTGCTTGATGTTACCTTTCTCCCGAGAAGCAAACTCACATTGGCAGGGTTCAGTGTGCCTATTGTAAAAATATAAAAAATTAAAGTGGCCTTGTGGCTCAGGGGATAGCCTGAGCTCACACCATTGAAACCCTTGGTTTGAATTTGGGCATATCAGAATCATAGACTAGAAGAATCTGATTAACTATGAAGCTCATTTTCACAGATGCCCAGTGGAGGCTCCTCAAAAAGTGACATGGACAAAACGAGGAAGGATGCAAGAGTAAGATAGAGAAAAGTCACGTCAATGAAAAATAAACGAATATTTATATAACAAGGAAGTAGAAATTGCAACAAAACAACAATAATAAACCAAGACCGCACCAAGACAGTATAATCTTTTGATTATGTTTCACTTGATAATTGAATTGCTGATAGCCATGAGTAAGGTTTATTGTTTCAAATCGCAGTTGCAAATCACAGCTGTTCTACCATTCTACCCTGTATTTGTACTCAATGGGTTTTCTTCAAGAGCTTTGAATTAACTCGAGAAAGAGTTTATTTTTCAACGCACACATTTATATAACTTTTTGTGTACATTTATAAACTTCTGCGAGTGTGTTTGTTGATTATGATGTGCGTTTACCCGTGTCCTCAAAAAGTCTCCTTCTTGTACGAGTTGTTCCACGCCTGGGGAATAAGCCAATTCGGGTTTGACAAAGAAATATTATGCCCAGTCGGCGATCCTGTTGTAATTAAATTAAAACCTTTTAGTGAATTTATACAAAAAATATTTCCAAATATATTGTCCTCGGGACTGCCAATCTCTTTAAAAACAATTTAATAATGCGATTGTTCCATCATTCCATTATGCATCCCTTGAAATCGCTTCAATAATAATTGATATTTGACGTAATTTTTTATTTTATTTCACCGTTGCTTTTTTCATAATTATATTCTATTTTTGCAATTGGAGGCACCATAATGAGATGAAGAAATTCTCATTCGGGACTCTCGCAAGCGAGTAGTGAATCGCCCCAGAAGATGATATTACATAACTACTTCAGAAGTAACTTCGATAAACCTATTTATCCGCACCAAGATCATGTCTCACACCTGTACCTGACCGGGAAAGAGTTGTTCATTGCATGACAATCAAGCAAAAAAATGTTTAAATCGCAGACCGTGAAATTAATCCAAATTAACATCAGAAACAAATGTTATTAATGTGACGATTTATTGTGCATTTGTTGGTGACGAGGCTGAGCTCTTCAGCTCACTGCGATTGACAAGCAAGTTTAATCGTGGGCGATAGGTGGCAAAGTTTTTGCTGCTGCAGCACCAGTGTCTTGGAACAATCTCGTTTCTTCACTCGGCCTTGTAAATATTCCTGAAAAATTATCCTTAAACAGAAGATTAATAACAGCCACATTTGCCACTGCAATATAAAACTATAAACCTTAATCATGGTATCAGCAATTAAATTATGAAGTGCAACGTAATCAACATGAAACAATAATAATAATAGGGTTTCCCCCCTTTTTCCTGGCAACAAAACTGAAACCTTTTTACAAGGATTCGTGTTTGCATTAACCACAATACTTGCAGTCAAAATGCAAACAAAAAACACACTCTGATAATATATGCATTGTCTTTGAAACTGATTGGTTCACACCAGAGACAGCTTTCTTTTGAGCCTTTTGGAGTCATCTGGTCTAGCACCAATTATATTTTGGTGCTGGCAAAGGAGGTCTAATGATAAACATGAAACTGTCTTGGTGCAGTCTTGGATTATAAATATTATTGTTGTTTTTCTGCTTTTCCCAAGCTTACAAATGTATAGAGTCGTGAAATTTGTACTTCCATGTTATAGCAATATTCATTTGTTTTTGATTGACTTGACTTTTCTCTATCTTACTCTTGTATCCTTGTATGTTTTGTTGATGTAACATTTTGAAGAGCCTCTACTGGGCATCTGTGAAAAAGAGCTTCATAGCTCATCAGATTATTCGAGTCTATGATTCTGATTCAGAAATTCCCAAATTCAAACCAAGAATTTCAATGGTGTGAGCTCAGTCTGTCCCCTGAGTCGTATGGCCACTTTAATTTTTTTTTTGCTTTTAAAGGAGAATTATTGTTGTGTGCATATATTTTGTCATTGATATTTGCTCAGAAATTGCTGCTCATGACAAAAAAACATGTTTCTTGGAACGCTTCCAAACATTGTATTAAGACGCATCATACGAATTAGGACATTGAGTCCAAATATGTATTTTGGAATGCAATATTGAAATATATCCCCTGGAGTGCAGCCCACGTGGGTAGTTATATATGTGAACGTTGAATGTAATACTGCACAATAGCAGCAAGCACATGCCAAATACATGCTGACGGAGAGAAACTGCATTTTAAAAAAGCAGTATGAATATCCGATACTGGCATTCCATTCCATTGTACTGTCCTGTCCTTCGTACCGAGAACGTGCAGTCCTCCTTCAGGATAAACACCCCTACATGTTGCAGACCTATAATTGTAATGCTTGAAGTGATATCAATTTTGTTAAGAGAAAGTGTGGTGGTATTCACTTTGGTCTGGATGGTAGTCCTCACACTGGTTATAATTTGATCCTCATTTTGCTTTTAGCATCATGTCATGAGACAAGGTCCATTCGGAACGGTCAAAGAGCAGTGCCAACCCTGCGTTAGATAATGGGCCACAGAAGCATGTATGACAGAACTACGTTTGAGATCCCTTCAAGGGACCTATTATCCACACGAGTGGGCAGCACTTTTCCACTTGCCCTCCCACAGCATCATGCCCATTGCATCACAGTCAAATTAATACATATATTTTTGAAGTCTCAGAGGTGGAATTTAGTCAAATTAGATACAATACCAAATGTATCTTTTTTTGTGCAGTCTGAAACATCGACTCAAGCAACTTAAGAAATTAGTTTCATCACAGAGAGCTGCCCAGATTCGAACCCATGATCTCAGTGATACCAGCTGAGCACTCTGACCTCTGAGCCATCTGGCTTCATGAGGTGCTGCTGCATTTTAATCGATGCAGTGCTGTGGAGTTGCCCTGTCTTTAACTGCCTTGAGAGACTGAGGATTAATCAGGGCAGGCCAAGATCAGTATGTTCCACTCCTACTTGCTGCTGAAGACGTAATCTGAGAGCGATTGAAGTCTGTAAAAAGGACAAATTGCTTTTGGGGGCAATTCTGACCAAATGTATCGTAAAATTACAAGGTTTATTCCTAATGTATAGATTTTCAATAATAGCACGGTGTGGATTAGATATACGGTTCAACTGGAAAGTGTTTCAGTAGTCAGTGTTTAATTTACAATCATTATTAAGCTAAATTGAATTACTGTTGTTAATTCGATACTTAAAAAAAAAAACCTTTACCAATGTATAGTTGTTGAGGCGATTATTTTAATATTTGTTGAATGTATGCTGGTAAGGGGGTGGGGGAAGGGGGGAGGAAATGCTACAACGGTGGTGTAATGGGCAGCACACTGGACTTGCTTTCAATATTTCAGTGTGGCAGTTGAAAGGATGGAGCAAGTTTCCTAAATGCCCACACCCTGCCACCTCTATCCACCCAGCGGTATAAAATGCGTTCAACATTTGAATCGATCGACAGGTCGTGCGTGTGCGTTGTGGCGGAACTGTATCGGTTACTTCAGCCTCTTGCGAGATAACTGACTTGCGTGGAGAAGTAGGCCAAAATACTCAAAAGGGAACATTTCTAGAGCTGCCTTTAAAACGAGGTGGGGTTTATATTCTTGGTTGTTTCGGTAAAGTCACGTAGAAGGGAAACAATAAAATAATAAAAATATAAAAAATAAAATTCTCACGACGTTTCGACCGCAACACAAGCGATCGTCATCAGGTGTGAAAACCACAGCGAGAAAATTTGAAAAATTTTGCGTGACTTTACCGAAAGAACCAAGAATATGAATCCCTGCAGTCACGGAAGCTTTAAAACGAAACAGAGGTGGGTTTTTTGGTTTTGTTGCCAGCAAGTTCCGTGCACCAGTAATTGCTGGGCTGTGCCGTTACCTTACATTCTTGTGATGAATCGTGTGGCTTTTCAACTTTTAGGCAGGTTTTATTTCATGCCATCACTGTGTTTGCAGTCTCAAGATTACGCAAAAGTGTTTTTCATTTGCAACTCGCCCACGTCCCATCAGCGTGTTTGTGTAACATTTTCCAAGCCGATTTCGTTCTTGACCTATTTATTAGACGAACGTTTTGCAACAATGCCGCAGCAAAGTGTCACATTGTTGCATCTTGACGGTTTGTTTTTGTGTTAGAGTGGCAACATGAAGACTCCAGGGTGCATCTAATCATCATTGGTCCAGAGGTTAGTGCTGGCATGATAATCATAATGATCTATAACAATGTCTATCCTCCACTCATTGCGACAAATCGGTAATATATATTTTTTTAAATGAAGACACGTGTTTGTGAGTGTTCTTGCAATGTACCAATATTATGCAATGGAATGCAATGCACCTATGCTGGCAGGCTGCATTTTCAATCACAGCATCTAAAATAAAACACGATTCAAGTGCACTAATTTTCACATTTGTTACACAGCTGTTTGCATGCAGCGTTTACCTGAAACCAAGATGTATAATGTACTACAAAGACTTTCATTGACTGCCCCACATATGCACAAAATGAATAGAATGTAGTGAAACTCCTATTTCCTGCGGCCTAATGTCCGCATGGCCGATCTACGATACTTCCTCCGTCATCAGCAGATCGGCAGTATTATCTGCGACTTTCGCCAATGAGGAAGACTTCAAGATCTGCCGCTGTACAGCAGAACTACAAAAATCCACATCGTTGATATGGGGAAAACCGCACCATGGAACCTGTAATCCGCCACGAACCGCGGAGGCTAGTGCTATAGACCACTAACTATAGGTGAGTGTTATAGACCACTAACTATAGGTGAGTGTTATAGACCACTAACTATAGGTGAGTGCTGTAGACCACTAACTATAGGTGAGTGCTATAGACCACTAACTATAGGTGAGTGCTGTAGACTACTAACTATAGGTGAGTGTTGTAGACCACTAACTATAGGTGAGTGCTATAGACCACTAACTATAGGTGAGTGTTGTAGACCACTAACTATAGGTGAGTGCTATAGACCACTAACTATAGGTGAGTGCTGTAGACTACTAACTATAGGTGAGTGTTGTAGACCACTAACTATAGGTGAGTGCTATAGACTACTAACTATAGGTGAGTGCTGTAGACCACTAACTATAGGTGAGTGTTGTAGACCACTAACTATAGGTGAGTGCTATAGACTACTAACTATAGGTGAGTGCTATAGACCACTAACTATAGATGAGTGCTGTAGACCACTAACTATAAGTGAGTGCTATAGACCATTAACTATAGGTAAGTACTGTAGACCACTAACTATAGGTGAGTGCTATAGACCACTAACTATAGGTGAGTGTTGTAGACCACTAACTATAGGTGAGTGTTGTAGACCACTAACTATAGGTGAGTGTTGTAGACCACTAACTATAGGTGAGTGCTATAGACCACTAACTATAGGTGAGTACTGTAGACTACTAACTATAGGTGAGTGTTATAGACCACTAACTATAGGTGAGTACTGTAGACCACTAACTATAGGTGAGTGCTATAGACCACTCACTATAGGTGAGTGCTATAGACCACTAACTATAGGTGAGTGCTATAGACCACTCACTATAGGTGAGTGCTATAGACCACTCACTATAGGTGTGTGCTATAGACCACTAACTATAGGTGAGTGCTATAGACCACTCACTATAGGTGAGTGTTGTAGACCACTCACTATAGGTGAGTGCTATAGACCACTAACTATAGGTGAGTGCTATAGACCACTAACTATAGGTGAGTGCTATAGACCACTCACTATAGGTGAGTGCTATAGACCACTCACTATAGGTGAGTGCTATAGACCACTAACTATAGGTGAGTGCTATAGACCACTAACTATAGATGAGTGCTGTAGACCACTAACTATAGGTGAGTGTTGTAGACCACTAACTATAGGTGAGTGCTATAGACCACTAAGTATAGGTGAGTGCTGTAGACCACTAACTATAGGTGAGTGTTGTAGACCACTAACTATAGGTGAGTGTTGTAGACCACTAACTATAGGTGAGTGTTGTAGACCACTAACTATAGGTGAGTGCTGTAGACCACTAACTATAGGTGAGTGTTGTAGACCACTAACTATAGGTGAGTGCTATAGACCACTAACTATAGGTTGGTGCTGTAGACCACTAACTATAGGTGAGTGTTGTAGACCACTAACTATAGGTTGGTGCTGTAGACCACTAACTATAGGTGAGTGTTGTAGACCACTAACTATAGGTGAGTGCTATAGACCACTAACTATAGGTGAGTGCTGTAGACCACTAACTATAGGTTGGTGCTGTAGACCACTAACTATAGGTTGGTGCTGTAGACCACTAACTATAGGTGAGTGTTGTAGACCACTCACTATAAGTGAGTACTGTAGACCACTAACTATAGGTGAGTGTTATAGACCACTCACTGTAGGTGAGTACTGTAGACCACTAACTATAGGTGAGTGTTGTAGACTACTAACTATAGGTGAATGCTATAGACCACTAACTATAGGTGAGTGCTGTAGACCACTAACTATAGGTGAGTGTTGTAGACCACTAAGTATAGGTGAGTGTTGTAGACCACTAACTATATGTGAGTGCTATAGACCACTAACTATAGGTGAGTGCTATAGACCATTAACTATAGGTGAGTGCTGTAGACCACTAACTATAGGTGAGTGTTGTAGACCACTAACTATAGGTGAGTGCTGTAGACTACTAACTATAGGTGAGTGCTATAGACCACTAACTATAGGTGAGTGTTGTAGACCACTAACTATAGGTGAGTGCTGTAGACCACTCACTATAGGTGAGTGCTGTAGACCACTAACTATAGGTGAGTGTTGTAGACCACTCACTATAGGTGAGTGCTATAGACCACTAACTATAGGTGAGTGCTATAGACCACTCACTATAGGTTGGTGCTGTAGACCACTAACTATAGGTGAGTGCTGTAGACCACTAACTATAGGTGAGTACTGTAGACCACTAACTATAGGTGAGTGTTGTAGACCACTAACTATAGGTGAGTGCTATAGACCACTAACCATAGGTGAGTGCTATAGACCACTAACTATAGGTGAGTGTTGTAGACCACTAACTATACGTGAGTGCTATAGACCACTAACTATAGGTGAGTGCTGTAGACCACTTACTATAGGTGAGTGTTGTAGACCACTAACTATAGGTGAGTACTGTAGACCACTTACTATAGGTGAGTGCTATAGACCACTCACTATAGATGAGTACTCTAGACCACTAACTATAGGTTGGTGCTGTAGCCCAGGATTTTTCCCCCAACGCTGGGAGATGTACCTTCTCATGCTCAGTCCCAAAAAACTCCAACATCCTCTGCCACCGAACATCCAAAATGCTCCAAGTGTCTCTCAATTCCATTGTCTTCATACTTGCCTTCCTATAAAATGGATTTTTTTTAATACAATGTTTCTTTATTTATTATTTATTTTAATTCACTACTTACCCTTCTTGTGCTATTCGTCGCGCACGGTTGCACTTTATTTTGCGCGCGATTGCAATTTACTTTGCTCAGTCAGTGTTAGCCGCTGGGATCCTGACCCGTGTCTTTTACCTTTCCTGTTGTTCTCTGGCCCTCTGTACCGTTCCCATTCTGCTGTCACGTGCACCGATGCCCACCTTATTGAGGGCGAAATTGGCGCGTAAAATAAAGGTTGATTGACGATTGATTGCCCTGCAGAAAAAACAAACAATTCTGCCGACACGGTGTGCCATGGTGTGCCGTGGGTTACGGGAGGAAGGAGCTTGCGCAGTTCCGTTCATCCATGAAAAAAAAAAACACGGATTACAGGACAAGCATGGCACGTGACTAGCTACTCCGCAAATAAAATGCAGATTATAGGAGACATTTCTATCTGCCATATTGGTTGATTTTGAAGGTTTTTAGGAACAACATTTTTTTTTACTTGACGTACATTTTAAAATACAAAATTCCTTTTTCCGCTGAGCTATATTGTCAGCATGGCTAGTCGTCGCAAAGTCCTTCTGCTGGCAGTGGCGTGAGAAATTAATTACCAGCCTGCGCCTTGACCACCTTTGTTCCACGGATAATAGACGTGTCGATGATGCTCATGACGCAGTCCAATGATGGGTGAATATAATCGATGATTAGTTAGGCAGCGACAAAGATGGTCTTCCGCAAATATGATAGATGATCACGATGATGATGGATTATGACGATTAAGGTAATACAGCAATGCTCGAAGACAATGAGGATTAAAACTAACGTAAACTATTTTATTTTACAGATAAAGCCCACTGAGCTGTACTGCTCTTTTTAATTGCTGACTTGGCCACAAATTGGAGCTCAACAAAGTGGCTGTTGATCACGTGGATATTTACAGCAGCCAGATACTCTCAAGGATTGTCACGTGTTAAATTAATCTTGTTATCCACAAATATCATATGTAAGATCGAGCATATTGACAGATTACAAGAAAACTCCCTCTTATCCACGATTTCAATTATTCACTATTGTCCCACCCTGGCCATTCACAGATAAGAGGAGTTCCACTATACGCATGGAACGTAATTATTGCACCTGGCGTTATATAAGATTAACAAGCGCAGCGGGAGTGGCATTTTCTGTAAGGTGATGACTAAAGAAAATCGATGGTAAATTAGCAAACCAGAGCCAGAGAGGTTGGCCATTTTCAGTTTTTAATTTATTCATGGGAATATATTTTGCCTCATATAAATCAGATTACATATTCATAAGACGAATTGCCTCTTTGATTTACATCCAACTAGAGTGATATGTTCTTGTCTAGTTTTCTTTGGCATTGATGGCAGACCAGGGGGGGGGGGGTGGGGGTGGGAGGGTTGTTGAAGGCTCACAGCCCAGCCAGGTTAAAATTAAAAAGTGTCGCTCGTATACGTTCACACACGACTGTTTCTCATTTTTACAGATTGACTCTGTGCTCTCAGCAGCTGTGAAAGAGAGGACCAAGATGTGAGCATTATATTTTTTATCACCATGAAGTTCATTTTTGGAAAATTGTGACGTTTTAATCTCTAGGGAAATATATTCGGGATTGCGAGCCCAACATTGCAGCTCGTATTTGTGAACCTAAATGGTTTGAATTGTCACGGTATGTATACCAAAGCAGCAATCGTGTCTTGCCTTCATTTTCAATGCATTGTTTCTATCTATTTAATAATTGTTACTTTGCAAAAGATGTGTGCTTGTGACTTTCACATTATAAAAAGTCAGCGATGCTGCCGCAGTGCCAAACGGTTAGCACACTGGACTTGCAGTCCAGAGAGGTCGCCGGCTCTATCTCCCAGCGTGGCAGTTGAAGCCATGGGCAAGTTTCTTAAATACCGCCCACCACCTCTATTGCGCCAGAGGAATACGTAGGTGACAGCACAGTTCGCCGATCGGCAGTTTTGTGCGTGGCGAGGTCAAGTGTGGCTTCTCACATCTCTCCCGGGAAACCCGGCCAGCGTGGGAGACTCCTGGAAAGGTTTCCTCTCTAGACTCTTTGGTTCTTTCGGTAAAGTCACGGTAAAGTCACCTGTGTGACTACGTGGACTTTACCGAAAGAACCAAAGAGTATGGATTCCTGCAGTCACGAAAGCTTCAAATCAGGCTTCCCCTCTCTCTCTCTCTCTGCAGCTCCTTCTAGTGGAGACTTCTCACCCGGCAGCAGTGACACAAGCAAATCATCGGAGGGGCTGGACATTAACTTTTACTTTCACAAAATTGTCGCAGTGGTTTCATTCCCAAATGTGCATCGGACAGTGCTCATCGTCTTCCGTTTTGCAGCTCTCAAACAGCTGTGGAAATTTTACATTTCTCTAGTGGAACCAATGCTTCATATAGGACCGCCGCTGTTGACTATACCCACATTGTGTCGGCCCTGGAAGAGATGAAGGACTGAGTCGATCCCAAACGACCTTTCCAATTGTGAGCCGAGCACTATGGCCAGTTCGCCACTGCTAGGCTGTACTATAATACAGTACAACATGCTGGAAGATTCAGGCCAAAGATCTGCCCCATGTATAATTTTGCCGCCTGAATTATAGCGTGTGGATTACCCAGCAAGCACATTGTGCGTAATAGCTTCGCATATTGTGGGTCATAAATCGCGACGTAAAATGACACGAGATCTGTTCGAAGCGACTTCCCGATGCCCATTTAATCAGCATTGCAAGTGCTCATTTTGAACATTTCTAGAAAGCGAATTTAAAACGGCGCGTGCAAAATTATGATAATCGTGTTCCCTATTTGCGTCACACTGATATACCGATAAAAGTAATGGATGCATCATACCTAATAACCACAGCAACCGCTTCTCCATGATGCGAGTGTAGCAGCATTTGCTGCTCAATAATTAAATGCAAACACGCAGCCACAACTCAGCTGGTGGCACTGTAGGAATACTAATTAATGACCACAGGAAGCATAACTTTTGCGCGCTGAGCAAAGCGCTGAAATCATGCCCTTATCTCATCACCTACATTTTTTTTGCTGATGTATTTATGAAACCCTTTTGTCATTACGGAGATAATTGTGTTTACACGTACAATTTGTACATATAACAAAGGTAAAGATCGGCTATGAATGCCTGCACTGCACATGAGGGGATGGTGGTGGTGGTGGCCAGGACCGTGCCGGCCACCTTTGCCTCCCAAGTACTGATGTTCAATGTTAACATACCGTAGCACGTGCTCATTTATGACTGTGTACATCTAGGGGAGGCCCAGAACAGGTTCAGATATTCATGAGTGTTGGCCAAAAGCAGCAATTGGAATCAGGTTGCCGGGAGCACAGCGCATGGCGCTGACCAACCCGCTACATTACCGTTCCCCACCATAACGTACGTGAATATGCACATCGACATGTAGAGCCTTAACAGACTGTTGGGGAGAAACGCCATTCGCAAACACAACACAACCTTAAATATTGACTTAAAACTTTCGTGACTGCAGGAATTAATATTCTATGGTTCTTTCGGTAAATACTCTTTGGTTCTATTCGGTAAAATCACGCCCGGTAAAAAATAAAACAACAAAAATCACGACGTTTCGGCCACAACACAAGTGGCCTTCTTCAGGTGAAGGAACAGAACTGTCGGGTCGACAGAGCTTCAATGACCGCTGCTAAGATTCGCTGCGTCTTTTAAGCTCGGTGGGAGGAGCAGGGCGCCTTGACAAAGGAGTTTACATATCAAAAATAGTTGTGTTAAAGTGTTGAAGCAGCAGGGTGTTGAAGTCAGAAAATTAGCTGGGGGATTAGCATGTTTTTGTGTAGAGGGTGCGGAGGATGGGTCACTGTGTGTGCAATAGAAACGGAAAAAATAAAGATCGGCATGAATGTGCTGTCAGGGGAAAGTAGAAAAAAAGGTTTAATGGAAAGTTCGGAAGGAATATGATTGGTATACCACTACTTGAAATTGCTGTTAGAAATTAGCTGACGTTTGGTATGATTTAAAACGCCTTTCCAATGGTTGCTTAATTTGAAACCATCCTCTCGGTTGAAGTTATGCCTGTGTTTGTATATCTGAATGGCTTCGTGGATAAATCTCTGGTGATAACCTGTAGGTTTACAGAGAACCTTGGTATCGGAGAAGACAATCTCATGATCACCCATAGCGTTGTAACAATGATCAGCCACAGCAGATGAATTCATTCTGCCGTGTTTCAGATCTGACTTTTGCTCGCGAATTCGGTCAGAGATATGTCGTTTCGTCTCCCCGATATAGCAATCACCGCAGGTACAACTCAATTTGTAAACTCCGGGGTACTGTAAGTCAGGGATGACATCCTTCACGGATGGGATCAGGTCACGGATTTTGTGTACTGTATTGAACCGGACCAGGATCTTGTGTTTGTTTAGAATTTTGGAGATCTTTTTAGTAACGCCTGCTATATATGGTAGTGTGATGGTTTTGACCGGAGTATCAAGTGATTGTTTCTGTATGGAGGGAGAAACAGCTTGGCGGATGGTACGGTCAGAGTATCCGTTTCTCTTGAGGGCCAGATGTACATGTTTTAATTCACTGGTCAGGTGGTGTTGGTCCGAAATGCAATGAGCCCTGTGGTATAACGTTTTGATGAGAGAATTCTTTTGAGCTGGGTGGTGGTGAATAGAACCAAAGAGTATGGATCCTTGCAGTCACGAAAGCTTCAAATCTGGAATATTTCGGTAAAGTCATGGAGATAGAAAAAATAACAATAAAATTAGAATAAAATGTAGTCACTTTACTTTTTTAAAATCACTTTATTTTTATTATTTTTTCTTATTTTTTTCTATCCACGCGACTTTACCGATTATTTTCCGTTCCCCGGCCACGGCTGTAACGTCAGTGGCGAGCGAACGATAGCTGAACGGGTTCCTGCTCCAGAACTAGGTCGGCTTGGCCATGAGAACGAGGACGTTTAGGTCACCAGGGCATGGTGCTGAAAAGACACAAAACTCCTCGTGTTGCAACGCCGGCCTTCGCAAGTGCTTGCGAAACAGCACTTGCCTCAAATTTTGATTTAAAGCTTTTGTGACTGCAGGGATTCATATGTTTGTTCTTTCGGTAAAGTCACCACGTGGAAGGGAAATAATACAATTATACAATTTTTACAATAAAAGAGAAATTTAATTGTATTGTTTTAATGTTATTCTTTTATTATTTCCATTCTACGTGACTTTACCGAAAGAACCAATAATACAGCATTTGCCTCATTAGTCTGTGTGGCTATGGAGGTGGCCGGGTGGGGGTCTTTGTTTTATAGTCGTGTTCATCTTGGTATTTTAGTGGCTACATAGCTAAATTGATTTGTTGAATCAGATGAATTGTTGAATCAATAACAAGGGGGGGGTGGTGGAGGGGGGGGGACTTCAATATCGCAGCCCCAGGATTTTTGTCAAGAAATCCTTATGAAAATCTTACCGGGACAAAATCTTGATTGGCTTTTCACTCTCTCCTGCGAGGAGTAGCTTACATCTTAAAGTAGCTTATATTGTGTTTACTTGCACACGCACACTGCAGGCGTGTGTATATTGTGTACGAACAATCCTTTTTGGTCGTTACATGGAAGCTTTCAGGGTTAGCATACAGACAGCGTATTATTTTTTCATAGTTATTACTGGATATAACACTTTTTTATATATATTGAAAATATATCCGTTGGCAATGTTGACATACAGTAGACAATGGTTATTCAGCAACACATTTTTACATTTCCTAAAGAAAATGCGATATTCTATTGGCAACAAAAGCTTCATCAGTAACACTGCCTTCAATCGGAGTAATTATATATCAGGTGATGTTTTGGCAAATTAGCATGTTATGCGTGAAGGCATCGGCAGTGGTGCATAATGCGCACTTAACAGAAACCGAACACGTGATTCAACAACACCGCCACGAAAGTAATATATGTTATTACATATATAATATGCAATAGGTTAACTATTACAGGACATAGATGAGCTATGAAGGACATCTTAAACGCATTCTTCAGAGCAGCAGCTCTTGTGCCGCTGGGCTAAAATACAATTTGTTCCTCTTTGAGGTTTGTTTTTTCCCGCGTGTTATATGTTCCTACGTTATACTGGTGAGGGGGAAGACGAAATGCTTGAGCACACCTTGATTTTTGTAACATGTCCCCCCCCCCCCCCACCACCCTTGCTTATTGATTGAAAAATAATTTCTTTAGAACTGCTTTTTGCGTTTAGTTTGTTGTCCTTCCCCCGCACCTCCAATTCAGACAGCTGGCTACCTACAGTGCGAAAGAAGTTCAACACAAAGACAAAGAGCCCCCGTATAGCCCTAACAGACTATTGGGGCAAACGCTGTTATAGCGAGCGCCTTTGATGGGATGATGCACGAGGGGGTGGGTGGGTGGCCTGCACCACGCCCGACCGCCTTTGCCTCCCCAGCGGCGATGATTTTTACACACCCAATCGGGTTCTCGTTTGAGGCCGAGTGGAACCTAGGGAAGGCCCAGGACCGGTTCAGATAATTATCGTCACCGGTGTTGACGGCGAGCGTGAACCGAACCCCCCCGGGGTCGGTGGTTTGGTGGCACCGCTGCACTGCCGCTCCCCGCCAATGCACAGACATGACAGTCAGAGCGAGCAAACTCATCAAGCGCTTGCAACGTCAACTGGAAATAATAAGTAAGAAATGTACTAGTAATGGAAGAACTCCACGACTCCAGGAAGTGGCTCCGAAGTTTGCCACACCGTAAGGGGACCGTGGACATTTACAGCCAACGTCAGTTTTCCGTGGACAATTAGAGCCAAGCCGAAACATAACATGTAAAAAAGAGTTTGTTTTAAAATGTTTATTTTTTATGATAGAATATTGTAATGTCTTCAGTATGACATACAGTGAGGGAAAAAAGTATTTGATCCCCTGCTGATTTTGTACGTTTGCCCACTGACAAAGAAATGATCAGTCTATAATTTTAATGGTAGGTTTATTTGAACAGCGAGAGACAGAATAACAACAACAAAATCCAGAAAAACGCATGTCAAAAATGTTATAAATTGATTTGCATTTTAATGAGGGAAATAAGTATTTGACCCCTCTGCAAAACATGACTTAGTACTTGGTGGCAAAACCCTTGTTGGCAATCACAGAGGTCAGACGTTTCTTGTAGTTGGCCACCAGGTTTGCACACATCTCAGGAGGGATTTTGTCCCACTCCTCTTTGCTGATCTTCTCCAAGTCATTAAGGTTTTGAGGCTGACGTTTGGCAACTCGAACCTTCAGCTCCCTCCACAGATTTTCTATTGGATTAAGGTCTGGAGACAGGCTAGGCCACTCCAGGACCTTAATGTGCTTCTTCTTGAGCCACTCCTTTGTTGCCTTGGCCGTGTGTTTTGGGTCATTGTCATGCTGGAATACCCATCCACGACACATTTTCAATGCCCTGGCTGAGGGAAGGAGGTTCTCACCCAAGATTTGACGGTACATGGCCCCGTCCATCGTCCCTTTGATGCGATGAAGTTGTCCTGTCCCCTTAGCAGAAAAACACCCCCAAAGCATAATGTTTCCACCTCCATGTTTGACGGTGGGGATGGTGTTCTTGGGGTCATAGGCAGCATTCCTCCTCCTCCAAACACGGCGAGTTGAGTTGATGCCAAAGAGCTCCATTTTGGTCTCAGCTGACCACAACACTTACACCCAGTTGTCCTCTGAATCATTCAGATGTTCATTGGCAAACTTCAGACGGGCATGTATATGTGCTTTCTTGAGCAGGGGGACCTTGCGGGCGCTGCAGGATTTCAGTCCTTCACGGCGTAGTGTGTTACCAATTGTTTTCTTGGTGACTATGGTCCCAGCTGCCTTGAGATCATTGACAAGATCCTCCCGTGTAGTTCTGGGCTGATTCCTCACCGTTCTCATGATCATTGCAACTCCACGAGGTGAGATCTTGCATGGAGCCCCAGGCCGAGGGGGATTGACAGTTCTTTTGTGTTTCTTCCATTTGCGAATAATCGCACTAACTGTTGTCACCTTCTCACCAAGCTGCTTGGCAATGGTCTTGTAGCCCATTCCAACCTTGTGTAGGTCTACAATCTTTTCCCTGACATTCTTGGAGAGCGCTTTGGTCTTGGCCATGGTGAAGAGTTTGGAATCTGATTGATTGATTGCTTTTGTGGACAGGTGTCTTTTATACAGATAACAAGCTGAGATTAGGAGCACTCCCTTTAAGAGTGTGCTCCTAATCTCAGTTCGTTACCTTTATAAAAGACACCTGGGAGCCAGAAATCTCTCTGATTGAGAGTGGGTCAAATACTTATTTCCCTCATTAAAATGCAAATCAATTTATAACATTTTTGACTTGTGTTTTTCTAGATTTTCTTGTTGTTATTCTGTCTCTCACTGTTCAAATAAACCTACCATTAAAATTATAGACTGATCATTTCATTGTCAGTGGGCAAACGTACAAAATCAGCAGGGGATCAAATCGTTTTTCCCTCACTGTAAGTATACCAAGTTTGCAGTCGATACCACATTGGGAAGTGGATAAAAATTGAGTTGCAAGATTTGAGGATACAACAACAATAACAACAACAACAGAGTGAGTTAATAGAAAGCATGTAAAATAAAAAAGAATTAAAAGGGTGTTGTGAACACCGTGTCCTCTTAAATGAGCGCGGGTGCTGGTTCCGCAGGGCGCGGGGCGTGTGGCTCCTGCCGGAGTTACCCCAGAACCAGCTGCACGCTGCAATGAGCGACTCCTTCTGCCTCGTCAACAGCTCCCTCAGCGAGGGCATGTCAGGAGCCATTCTGGAGGTGAGCGGCTTGTCCCGTCGGTTCTCGTGCGGCTAAGCCACATCTCATCACGGAAGCATCTCCCCCCCGCTCCCGCCCGCCCCCCCCCCCCGCTTTCATCGTTCACAAGGAAGCTCTAAACGTGTTTAATGTTTCACGTAATTAATGTTTAATGTTAATGCGCCGTGCTGTAATTGCGACGCTTCCCCCGCTTCGCCGTCACAGCACGGACTCACTCAACCAACCCATACGAGGCGGGGTTTATTATTTTGTTTTTTTTTTCCCCTCCCTGAGAAGATAAACAAAACAAATATTCTCCTAATAATGAATGTGACTTCGTTACAAGACCTCATAGGTCTCCTCGGGTGTTTTTTTTTTCCTTGACCCATTCCATCCGTAGATTTCACCAAAGACCACTCCAGGGGGGGGTTCTGCTGTCTTATGTGCAGTTAATGACCTACTTCTTCTGATCGTGACACTCTCTCCATCCTGGTTTTTATTGATCTCTCGCCTGCTTTTGACGCCATCGATAACACCGTCCCTCCTTGAACGCTTGCATGCCTGTGTTTGTGTATATATCTGGCGCACGCCTCTCCTCCTTCCATCCTTACCTGTCATCGCACGCCCCTCCTATGACTCCATTCGGAGATTATCCTCCTCCGTGACGCCGCTGCCTTGCGGCTTTTGCCCTTTAAGGGTGCGTACGCCGGAACCCCTTACTCCGTCCATCTCCTTGCACTTGGCAAAAATCACACCCGGGCACGGTAGCACTCGCTCGTGATCTTCTCGTAATCTGTCGCTTCGGAGGCAATGGTGGTAGAGCACGCCGATTTGTGAGACTCTCAAACCCGCTGAGCTGTGGAGATGGTTCTGCAGATAGCAGGGGGACAAATTTGTTCGTGAAGCCGTCCATGCCTAGGTTAGAGTTTTATCTCCCTCGAGCCACTCCGGTATCCTCTCACCCACAGAACACCCACTGAGAACCGTGCCAAGTGGCAGGAACCCCTTCCAAGAGAGATTCTTGATTATCGGCGAGGCCTTCCCGGATCGAGGAGGAGACGTTGCCGAGCGGTAACCTCGGCGGGTCGCCACCCGAGACGGAGGTTCGCGGTTCGAGGGCAAGCTGCCTCCCTGGTTAATACTCTGCAGGTGTATTCACGATGCGTGCCCCCTGCTTCACAGTGAATGTTCAGGATCCCGTGACGTTACTCGAACAAGAGTAAGCCACGCGCGTGCCAGCGTCATGGTCCAAATTTGGACGAGAAAAAAATACTCGCAATTTACTTAATTGCGAAAAACCGATGACGTGATGTAAACTGCTTTTAGTTTCTCAGACATTTAAGTGCCCGATAAATGCACATTATTAGCCTTAGAAATTACACTATAATCGCATTATTATGCTATTATTACACTATAACAAAAAAAATGATGTTCCTGGGTAGTACGTGTTATTTCCTAATTGCTTATGCCTCAAAAGTACAGAAACTGACTGTTATTCCCCACAAACTTTGCTTTTGTGACAAGGACAATGATATTTTGCAATTTACCTATTGGAACATGTACATCTGGCCCTCAAGATTAACGGATACTCAGACTGTGCTATCCGCCAAGCTGTTTCTCCCAACGTGGAGATACAACCCACTGAGACTCCGATCAAAATCATTATGTTGCCATACATAGCAGGCATTACCAAAAAGATTTCCAAAATTCTAAACAAACATAAGATCCAGGTCCGATTCAGTACAGTACACAATATCCGTGATCTGATCCCATCTGTAAAGGATGTCATTCCTGACTTACAGTACCCTGGTGTCTACAAACTGAGTTGGACCTGTGGGGATTGTTACATCGGGGAAACGAAACGACATTTCTGATCGCATTCGCGAGCACAAGTTGGATCTGAAACATGGCAGGACGGATTCTTCGGCCGTGGCCGACCACCGTTAGAATGCTGCTGGCTCTCATGACATTGTGTTCTCCGATACCAAGGTGCTCTGCAAACCTCCTGGATACTACCAAAGATTTGTCCATGAAGCCATCGAGATATACAAACATAGACGTAACTTCAACCGAGATGATGGATTAAAATTGAGCAATCATTGGAAAAATGTAATTAACCAAGTCAAACTTTAGCTACCGGGCAGTTTACTGCTAGACAGCCGGTTTAGATGTATTTTCATAAACATATCCACATTCCCAGTCTGTTACCCCCAGTTTTACACACTACCATTGTCATGGTATTGTGTACCACAAGTTGTTTTTTAGCTTGCACATTTCAGTTTGAACTCCTTACGTTGTTAGCCTGCGCATTTTTAACTTACCCACCCGGCAGCATAACAAAATGCGGCTTAATCCTAGCTTGTTTATCTACTTCTGCCATCTACATCACAAAGCCCCGATTTCGGCCCAAGTCGTTGCCTCTCAGCACTCCCTCGGCTTCCCAACTTCACCTCCCAGCCCACACCCCGCCCCCGCACTCACCATGCCCCCCCCCCTCTCCCCATGTCCCGCGACTATATAATCCCTCGCCCTTAAGCGTTTGTGCTTTCGCTACGTTGTCCCCACCTGAAGAAGGATGCTTGTGTTGCGCCCAAAACGTCGTGATTTTATTTAGTTTTCATTTATTTCATTTATTTTTTTTACCTACGTGACTTTACCGAAAAAAACAGAGTATGAATCCTTGTTGCAGTCACGAAAACTATTTTTAATGAGAAAACTGGCGAATTTGTGTCTTTGCGTTCACATAAAGTCAGAAAAAACATTCATCAAAATTTACATGTATTTATACTATGGTAACACAAAAATGACTACAAAATATTTAGACACCAAGGCGCACTACCACAGGTGGGACTGGCCACAGCGGACCGAGTTCTCTGTGGGGAGGAACAACGTCAAGTGGGAGCCATTGGTGGACCCCCAGAAGGTGCCAATGCCACCACTGCACATCAAATTGGGCCTAATGAAACAGTTTGTCAGAGCTGTAGATAAGCAGTCGGCAGCCTTCAAGTACCTTCAAGACTTCTTTCCTAAGCGGTCTGAGGCAAAGGTCAAAGCCGGTGTCTTCGTCGGACCACAGATAAAGAAGATCCTGGAGTACAATGAATTCCCCAAGAAGCTCACTAGTAAGAAGAAAGCGGCTTGGAAATGCTTTGTTGCAGTGGTTCGTGGCTTCCTGGGCAATCACAAGGTCGAAAAATATGTGGAGCTGGTTGAGACTCTGGTGAAGAACTATGGCACAATGGGCTGTAGGATGTCCCTCAAAGTCCATATCCTTGATGCTCATATTGATAAATTCAAGGAGAACATGGGAGCGTACTCAGGGGAACAAGGCGAGTGCTTCCACCAGGATTTACTGGACTTTGAACGCCGCTACCAAGGACAGTTTAACGAGAACATGATGGGAGACTACATTTGGGGGCTGATTCGTGAAAGTGATTTACAGTATAATCGTAATTTTCGAAAAACGACTAAATCTTTTGTAGTAATTTTTGTATTACTTTAGTATAAATATATGTTAATTTTGATTCATATGTTGGTTTATTCTGTCTTTATGTAAACGAAAATATACAAATTCGCCCGTTTTCTCATTTAAAATTGGTACATTTCAAAATATCACTGTCCTAGTAACAAAATCAAAGTTTGTGGGGAATAATAGCCATTTTATATACTTTTTAGGTATAAGCAATTACGAAATAACACTACCCATGGAACAAAAATTGTGTTAGATAGTGTTATTATACAAATTTGAAGTTGCCATATGTAGATGACACCAAACTGCACATACCCTATCATTTCCCCGGACCCCGATTCACTGTCCAGGCCATGTGCCCATCTTGATTTTGTTTTTGACTGCAGTTCCTTTGACTGTTCCATCAACTGAATTTCCATTCCAATGGATAAAAAAAGTATTCTCTATCATAATCCACTTTGTTAAGTAAGACATCGCTTTTGTTAAGTTGCTCATTTTCTGGGCCCCTTTTACACATCTCTGCGATATCTCCTACACCTAACACTTCCAGACTTCATCTGCTGCTGATACTCTTATCCATGCCTTTGTTACATGTCACCTTTACTCTTTTAACTCTCCCTCTCATCGATGATTTCCCAATTCCCACCTTAGATGATCCAGAGCGCGGCTGCGAGACTGTATGAGATCCATCCAGTTCACTACAATAGCCATTCGGAGGATCATCCTCGGTGTTTAAAATCCGGCGTGGTCAAGCTCCTGCCCACCTCTCTCCTCCAGTGTCTCCTTACTCTTCTCCCGCTGCCGTCCCTTCCAATAACTAAGGCCTCTTGTTGACACTAGCAAATTAACCTCCGCTCAGTGGGAAGTTGCCGTTTCTCCTCCAAGATTTCTGAAACCCGTTTATGTATTTTTCACTCTCGACAGTTCCACTGTTTAAGGCCAAACTCAGGACTTATATTTTCTCCTTCGCGTATGATTGATTGCCACCCAATTGCGTTCTTACAGCACTGTAGCCCTCTCTTCATCTTTGTCACACATCCCCCTGATCTATATTTTCATTCACCTTGTTCCACAGCCCGCGTATCCTTATCCTGTACAGTATCTTGAGACGTTGCATTTTAGATGCTCTGTAAATTAAAATCGCATTGCGTTGTCCATGTACATTATACAGAACAGCAAACTGAAAGCAATTCAGTTATTTATGATACAATAATTCAGCTTTTATATTTGATTAAAAAAATATATATATATACTTTGTCACTATTTTTCTACATATAGAAAATCATGCAAATATGTTGTGTTTGTTTATCATACGCAATATATAAAGTAGCATTATTGGAAGGGGAAAAAGTGATTCCCAGCGCTTTCAATGAATATACAATTTTTGTTGACTGGTGCAGAGACAAAAACATGTGCGGCAACCTTCAATCTTGAGTGTTTGTGTGCTTTTTTATGGTTTATTGTGCTGTCCCGCTATATTTGTATTGCATTATTTACACCAACATTGAAATACATTCTGCATTTGCAGACAACACCGGGGTTCCAAATTTTCACAACAACCTACTGATTTGAAATGACTGAAAATGCATCTTTCTCCCCCCCCCCCCTCCCGCCACTCCAAAAAAATAAAATGCTTCGATAGCTGCTGATTTTGTTTTTTATTTTCCAAAATTTGAATTTGTCCACCTAACGAGAGCTGTTGCGTATACAAACACGATTGCATTGAAATGTACAGGTGTCAGAACAGTCACCGTCTTGTTTGCTCTGTAAGTGAATTTGGGGCATTTCTTCGCCTCTCAGCAGTTCTCTCGTTTTTTTTATATCCTCCTGTGCCAAAACCGAGAGTTATATTTCATTGAAAGCCACCAGCCTCAGCGAGCCGACGAGTCATGCCATCAGTACCCCTGTGGAATTTTTTGGCTTCGGCCTCTGGGCTTTTGCTGAATTGTTTCCTGGGGCTCACGCCATGGGGATTAGCCCCAGGAAACCGCATTCCGGATCATCTGAAACAAGTGACCCAGCTATATCCGATTCAACATTATATACAAGCAGAGATAAGGCATAGACTGGGTAATGTTGAAAAAGCGTTACTCTCAATCACAGGGTCAAGCCTTAGACTATTATGTAAAATATCATTGTGTGGGAGAGACGTGCCATATTATGATAATGTCTAGCGGGATGTTTTTTTAATTATAATAAATGCAATTTAAGGCACTGATGGTTTTATGGATTTAAAAAAACCTCAGTCATGACTATTTATGTTTTTATTTCTGAAGTAACGGCTCAACAATATTCTGACATGCAATGAAACTATTATCTGCGTTCATGTGAGGCAGTGTTATGGCTGGATCCTATAATATGCACATTTATCCACGCAAGTAACGTCCGTTAGTGCACAGCTAAATGTGGATAATAAGGGTCAATTTGCCCTTGCTTTCTGGGTATCCGCAAATACGTGCAAAAAAAGACGGGGTATTTTGCACTTCCAGTGACCATTTCCCGTCACGGAATACGCAGATTAAAAGTATGAATTTGCCAAACGACTCCTCTCATCCGTGAAAAAATCGTGCATAGTATAAATAATCAACGTCCGTGACTCTCACCCCTAGGTGCACCTCTTATCCACAGTTAAATGCGGATAAAATGATCAATTTGCCACGCCATTGCTTCTATCCTTGAAAAAAATTGTAGATAGTCTGTTCTCCTATAACGCGGTAGTTGCATTCCTGAAGAACACCGCGTTATGAAAAAAAATCGCGTTATAATAAATAATATATAATACAGGGTAAAGCACAGTCCACAACAAGACGTGCGATGCATCTGCAGGCTGAACAAAGACTGAGGCACATGGGTAGCATCGAGAAGCATCCAGCAGCATCCTGCTTTGTGTGATGCTACGCCGAGGCAGCCGTTGCAACCGCTTATTCCTACTGGCGCAATGTAGTTCTGTTCACTCAATTACATTATATTTAATTTGCGTGATGAAACAACACGCATTATAGGAGAACCGACTGTACTAGGAATTGGAATCTGTGCATGATAGGGGTGATACTTAATGTGAGTACAGATAGGAGAATTTGTCCCTATGAAGTCCGTGCATGCATACACAAAAGCCACACACGTTCAACTAGACTTCGAAAATGGAAAAACGTAGAATTCATCATAAAATACACGTTTATATTTTTATGTCAAAATTTTTACTTTGAGCGGCATTTGTGTATGGTGATAGGAACATGAATGTGATCTCATGCATTGTAAACTTTACGACGTTCTCATCTCACACGTTTGCACACTTGCGCACAGGCTATGCAGCTAGGCTTGCCGGTCATCGCAAGAGACATTCCCGGAAATGCCGCCCTCATCACGCACGAGGAGACCGGACTGCTTTACACCACAGCGCAGGTAAAAAGCAGAGACGGTGCCACTGAGCGTAAAACATTTTTACAGCACTCATTGCATACAAAGTGCTTGCCACAAATGAACCACAAAACCATCCTCGCAGCAGCGGCTTTTGGCTAGCCGTCGTACAAATAAGGTCACAGCATCGTGCGCTTTCAGATGCGCTTCTGCGACCATCTGAAACGCTCTTCGTGACGTTAGGAAGCCAGTGAAGCTATGCACTTTTAAAACTAGATTTAAAAAAATTAATTTATTTCGAACTGCTTTTTGTGTTTAGTTTGTTGTCCTTCCCCAGCATCTCTGATTAGCGCATTTGGCTCCATACGGCGTGAAAGAAGTTCAACATAGGTGTCACTCTTGGTTAGTTCAATTCACATATTATGCATTTATTAGACCCCCCCGATGAAGGTTTGGGGTAGGCGAGGGCGTAGTGACCGCGTTACACTGTTTTACATCCTCGCCGGACTAGCAAGAGTTCAGTGTAAGCAAAAGATTTTGCATTGACGGGCAGGAGCCCATGTCACTGTAAGACAAGATGGCCGCCGGTGGCAGAGGGTAACGATGGAAATGGCAAACCAAACGAGGGGGCGTTTCCGCCGCAGAGATGGAGCAATGAAATCCGCTGCCGCGCAGGCACTAGGCCAGTGGTTCTTAACCTTGACTGCACCCTTGCATCCCTTTGGTTCTCAATGGTTAAAAATGTATAATGTTAATAAACACATAGGTTTGATGAAACGGAGTAGTTGTACTTACGTGCCCGTGCTTAATTTATATTTCGATGATTTACCTTCTAAAAAAAAAATCTGGCCACATCTCGCACCCCCAAAAAGGGCATCGAGTTCCCCCAGGGGATGCGTGTCACCCCAGGTTAAGAACCACTGGGCTAGACGGATTGTTAAAGCGTTAAAAAACATGAGAGAGACGGCGGCGACGGCTTGGGAATGCTTTCGTCCAGCAGTGGATTGATAATGGCCGGCGATGATTATGACGATGGTGCATACAATACAGATGATGTAGGCACACTCCGACTGCACCTGATGTTTTTTTTATATTGTCTCTGGGAGGCAGTCTGTGGGTGTTACACCAAGGCTCAATTGAGCACTTACAATTCTTAAGTGTGTTTTCCATTGCTTTTTATTAAAATAATGAGGTGCCTTAGTTCCTGGCTGTATTGTCACTATAGTATTCGCCAGAAATATGGGCCTCGTATTGCTGTGCCACTCGCCCACCAACTCACCCACCAACTCGCCCACCAACTCGCCCACCAACTCACCCACCAACTCACCCAGCCACTAGCCCACCAATTCACCCACCAACTCACCCAGCCACTCGCCCACCAACTCACCCACCAACTCACCCACCAACTCACCAAGTCACTCGCCCAACAACTCACCCACCAACTCACCCACCAACTCACCCAGCCACTCGCCCACCAACTCACCCAGCCACTCACTCACCAACTCGCCCACCAACTCGCCCACCAACTCACTCACCAACTCACCCAGCCACTCGCCCACCAACTCATCGCAACTTCTCCCCTATGGCCACACCGCTGTTTCTCATGCGTCATATCGATCTGTATCGCATTATTTAAAAAACAAAGAAGCCTGCATACGTCATGCCCTGCTGGTTCTTTGTTTTGCAGTCTTTAATCCTCGTATTGTCTCAGTCTTGTTTTTTTTATTTCTAACCCTGCCTTTCTCAAGAAATGGACTTGTGTCGTGCAAATCTTTACGTGGCTTTGAGTTTAGTGCGTTCTAATGAGGTCCTTGAAATTGATATTCAAAGAGCAATCCTGGAAAAGACATCAGAGTATGTGTACCTTGGACAGTTATTGAGGGGGGAATGGGATCAAAATGACTAATTAATGCGGCAAGCGAGAGCAGGTTCCTGTGCTTTTGTAAAAGAAACATGCCAATACAACGTACCAATTTGCCTTAACATACCACATGCCTCAAGAAGGAGGTTTTTGTTTCAGTGCCTCTCACCAGCTATGACATGGGTTCACTACTTTTTTTTTAAACCGACAAAAATGTTCAACAGATGAAACGTACTCGAAAGAAACATGGACTGGTACATCATTGAAATAACACCGAAACAAAAAAGAGGAACAGATGGATCAGAGAACAAATAATAATTTAAAGACATAATATTGGCCGTTAAGAAAGTAAGCAGGCCTATGCAGGGATGCATCGCTAGAAGGGGGGCTGGCCAACAGTCGAGGCTGGTGAATGAATGGCAGCCAAAGGAGGGATCGCACCCAAGAGGAAGGCTACCGAGAGGATGGAGGGATGATGGGACAAGCTGATGCGTGTGAGTGAAATGTATTAGAGGTGTCACGGGACACTGAGGAATGCCGATGACTTGGAAAGGCCTTGACACAGCAGCGGATAGAGCCTGGCTGCTGATGAACGTGACGTAAAAAAAACTTTATCTGGGTCGCTTCACTCCGTTGGCTCTATTGTGTTCTTTTCATTTGTGCGGAATCGTTCAGTCTTTCGAGCAAAATGCTTACATTGCATTTTTTTTTTTTATTTCGCGAATAGATAAAACAATTCAGCGCTAGTCAATTTTGTCCGCGGGTTCTCATATATGGGACGAGACAGACCACTGCGAGGCATGTTTGAGATTAGATTGAGTGGAGAAAGCTGAATATTGGCAAGTAAAACTCTTTCCGTGGTCCGAGAGAGCAACAGATGCTGCAAAATGGCTCCCTGTCACTTGCCCCCCTCCCCGCCATGGGAGGCAAAGTCAAAGGATTCGTCCTTTGAAAAGAAGATTTAGCTGTGGGTTAGCGTTAGTTTTCAGCAGCGCTTGGTCTTAATCTAGTGCAATCGAGAGCTTTAGTCACGGATACGAGGCCAGGTGGCGTTCCAGTCATGCGCTCCGCCAGTTCACTCCGTTTCGAACAGTGCAGTAAATTCATCTGCACAGTGCGAGAGGAAAAAAATATTACTTTAAATCCGCACCTGGGTCAGTGTTCATTTGTTAAGGTGCCTGACCAGCAGTTTGTGTGTGTGTGTGTGTATCTACATAACAAAATATTTGACAGGCGGTGGCTGACAGACGCCAATTTCAAATGGACATTGCATCGTACTCGTCCCTGTCACTTAACAAAGCCATGAAGCATGCAGGTGCCCGCTATGTGTGTGATTATGCTGTCTAATGCATGTGAATTGTGCCGTCTGTATTTTAATGAAACAAATATAAGGCACTGCCTCTCAAAATAATTGTTTGCCTTTACAATAGCACCCGCATCATTAATTATCATACTTAGCATCGTGAGATACAGATTTTAGAGACGTACAGTAGTAATTTTAGATGTTTCAATTAAATTCGAATTATTATGCATCTGATTTATGTTTTATTATTTCATTACCGTTTATATAATTTCCACATTTGACGAAGGGAAAAAAAACACCGTGATGAATCCTTAATGCAGTAGTTAAATGTGTAAAATGTTCACGAGGAAAAAAAAACAATACATTTAGATTGCCTCATTTTTGTAAGTGCCATAGTCAGTCCTCTTTCATTGTTTGTTAAAATTCGAACGATTTCCTTTCAAAAGGCATATTTAATGTTGTCCATTGCACTGACTTACAGGATTACCCATGGTCTAGAATCAGAGATGGACCGTGTAGAGAGAGAGAGATGCCTCTTGCAGGCATTACGTTATTGATTGTCGTGTTGGAGTACCATTGTCGTGACCTTGCGGGGACGACAGTTTCAGAAGATTTCTTTTTAATCTGCAATCTTTTTTTCCCTCCGCAACACGTCTTCTCGACCGTCGCTCACGCATTGCAATTCCGAGTAATTATAAGCTCAGCTTTGCTAGTCTGAAAGAGCAATAGCAGTATTTGTGAGATATATGCGTGTTAATTCCCAATCAACTCTAAATTTGGAATTTCTACGTGGAAAGTGTTGCTGTTATTATTCGGTGATGTATAGTATCTGTGCGAGGTTTTAAAATACAACGCAGTTTTCGATCTTTAAAGCATCTAAATGCACCTGCATGTCGTCGAATCCATTCCTAACGGTGTTTAGTTCTTCCCGCACACTGCAGTAAAACGTTTTAGAGCCACGTAGACAACTCTATAGACTTTTCCAGGAGGGATTTTTTATTACGCTGCCTTGCTTTCTCGCTTGTAGTCGCAAGAAAACGAGTGTCGGCACGGACACTTCTCACCCCCCTCTCGATATCATCACTGTTTTTATTGCAATAATCCTCTTTGCCTGGGGAGCGGTGATGTAGGGGTAAGCGCACTTGAGGATGAACCCTATGACCTGAACCCAGAAACCTGAAGCTAAGCTTGGTTATCATTATTATTTACGTCAGTGATGAGTGATATCTGAACCGGCCGTGGGATCCTCCGTCACCAAACCACATGGACCACTTTGGTGAAGTACATTCAAACAAACCCCATAATCAACACAGTGCAGGGAGGAGGGCTTTTCCCAGAAGTGGCTTTGCAAAAGGCCGTTATATAATAGAGTAGAATTTACCATAATTTTTTACGAAAATATTCACCGTCGTAATACTAATTTCACAATTTTGACTTTGTAATGCGCCAATATTCGCTTGCACTCAGGCGAGCGAGCGAGCGAGAGAGAGAGAGAGAGTACGACTCAGGAGGCGTGAGGAACCACAGAGGGGCAGGAAAGCAGGCCACGCTGTGAGCCGACACCAACAACCGCTCATGCTTTGTGGTCCTCCTCATACTCGGATGTTATCGGCCCCAATTCATGAGCGGCTTTTCTAGATGTCAGAGGAATGCCGGAGTAGCCGGAGAGAAGCCGCACGCGAGAAGGGGGCGGTGGCGGCACCATCCAATCGGTGATCACGGGGGGGGGGGCTTTTCCCGTGTGGCCCCCAAGCTGTGGAATTCACTCTCCATCCGTTATTAGATCTGCTGAGTCCCTCGGTTTATTTAAATCCCGCCTTAAGACATTTTTCTTTTCCCTTAAAGGCTTTTTATCCTTGTTAATTTTGGTATGTGTTTTGG